AGTGCATTTCGGATTGCCTCGTATGGTCTTCGAGTCGTACATGAAGGCGGGACTGGAATTGCGTGACATCATTTGGCCAAACGCTTACTTGGCAATGGGTGTTCCTGTCTGGAAAAGCCCTTCTCTTCAAGCTTGATTTATGGAATAGGATCCGGTAAAAGCTACTGCAGGTGCGATGAATTCTTCACCACCGCTTCCTTCACTTCCACCAAACTGGTGTATAAAGTCCCAAGAGCTCGCAGCTCATAATCACAGCTTCAATGTACTCGTAGGACTGCCAAAATCTTTCACTCATATCAATGAGTTGAAATCCAAACAGTATCCCAGAATGTCAGAGTGAAGTCGCTGTGTTTTTCAATCCCGAAATTGGCTCGAATTGTGCTGAATCTTTGAGAAACTTGGTGGTTGCGAATCTTCGAAAACCATCGGACTCACTCATGGGACTGGGACTTGTGCGGATCATGGGACCTGCGTGTTGTGTAATAACCCACCAAAGGCTAAAACTGCAGTATGGTGGTAAAAAGATCGAACCCACAGGGACAGAGGCAACACACAGAGTACAAAGTGTCACGTTTAACAGACTTTTGGAGAGTTTGAATTCTCAGGCGACTGTCACTCCCAGAAATACTGCAGTGCTCGACTCGGAGGCCACTCGGAGGATGCTCGACTCGGAGGTCACTCGGAGGATGCTCGACTCGGAGGATGCTCGGAGGATGCACAGTGCAGCGTAAGTCACTCAACACACACACACACACACACACCTGAAACTGGAAAAGCACAGCTCGGAGGTCGGTCAGGACCTCCGCTTAGGATTTCAGGGGGAAAGTATCTCAAAAGTTCACTCAGAGGCTCTGCAGGTAGTGACCTCCACTCCGGCTTTTACAGCCCTTCCGCCAGTTTCTGCTAGCGTAGGGAACCCGGATTGGACTTCCCACTTCGGAACGAAGTCCCTCATACGCGGTGGACGTCACCCTCGACTCACACTAAGCGCAGAGAGTACAGGTCTGACTGAGAACTCAACTGAGACACAATCCAGTAACACACACACATAACCTGAATTGATAACCAAGGTTTACACGAAGTAACAAAACTTCACTTTGGCATTCAGGGGAAACTTCCCGTATGAGTACAATCAGGATATGTCACTCGAAGGAGTAAGGGGGAACTGTTCAAGTATCTAACTCGCAACCGGCTCTGAGCATCAAAAATCACCCGCAGGTGCAGATCCGCACTACTCGAGTCTCTAACCGGTGTACTAGCTCTGAACATTCAGCCGAAGGCCTTCAGCTACAACATGCGGTAACTTCACTATGCTGCAGCTCCTCTACGTGGTGCCAGGACCAAATGCACAAACACGCCGAGAAAGTGAGTTCCTGATCTGCACTTCCGAAACTGGAAGAGTCCCAAGGCAAAACGCCTTGAACTACTTTATACCCTCTAAGGTCCTAACTAACACTACGCTGCGCTACCTGCTACTCTAAAATCTTGCACGAAACCAAACTACACTACTGCACTCTGCAGATCCGGTACTGCGCCTCCTGCGCGCCGGACTGCCTCGCACTTTCTCTCTACCCTGCCAATCTTCCGACCGGCTGCGCAACCCCAGCCGCCGAAGGACTGCAGTCACTTCCGACTCCAAGTGCGCCATAGTGTCGCGCGCACCCGACAAGAAAGCTTCTAATTTCCTCGCTACTCGCCGCCGACTCCGACTGTCACTCTCCGTCAATGCCGCCGCCCGAAGCTCAAACTCCCTTAGCGTGATCTTCTCTTGTGCCGCCACTTCCCAGTGGGCGTATCCTCTTAGACAGTGAGTCACCCGCGTCACCAACTCTTCTCGCGTCCGGCTGCTGCCTTCCACCTCTGCTAGTTGCATCTCCACCTCTTCTGCACAGAGTCCGCTTCCTGCTCTTCCAAACTCGTCTCATCCTCTGTTTCGAGGATTTGAGTCGCCACAGAATCTCTTGGCGACTCTCTGGAACTGTGGCGCGCGGCAGCTTCCGCCGCGACTTCCGCTCCACTCCCTGCTAAAATATCCAAGGCAGTGGGGGATCCCACTGCCTGAGCCCCTGTTCCGGCTCGATCTTCGGTTCTCGAAGGGGTCGGCTCCGCAGTTACTTTTGTCACCCTTGCACCGTCCGCTTCTACTGCCTGCTCTTCCGGCGCGATCTGCGCGGAAGATGTCTTCGCCGGAGGTGTGTCTGCCGAAGGCGCCCGCACAATGGTCGCCGGCCTGGTCCGATCCGCAGTCGGCGACTCTTGCCGACTCTCAGTTGACCGACTCGCAGTCGGCCGACTCGCAGTTGTCCGACTGGCAGTCGGATCCACCCTGCGCGTCTTTACTCTACTTGGCCGGCTTGCTGGAGGCGTTTTCTCAGAAGCGCCTTCTGCCGAAGACGACCCTCTGAGAGTTGTTGGCTCTTCAGCCAAACTCCCTTCTGCTTCCGGCCTGCTGTCTGGTTCAACGCGCTTCTCAGTTGGCCGTTTTTCAGTCGCCCGACTCGCAGTCGGCCGACTGTCAGTTCGCCTGTCTTCTTCTGGAGACATCGGCGCCTTCTGCGCATAGGGGTTCACCGACCTCCCCAGAATCTGCGCGATTATCTCCTCCTGCGTGGGCAGGATACTCCGCCGGACTGGAGTACGCCCGGTCTCCTCACTACTAGTTGGCAACACCATTTTGCGTGCCCTCTGTTTCGGCCGGCTGTGAAGCTCGTGGGTTGGCCGACTCCAGGTCGGCGCTGCGGGAGCTTCCAGCTGCCTGTCTTCAGGTCTCTCATCCCATTTCCGCTTCCGCAGTGCGCGCTCACTTCAACGCTCTTCTGCTGCTCTTGCTGGAGCCGGAGCTGGAGCTGGAGTTGGACTGGCAGGTGCTTTGTCCGGATCTGTGTCCACTTCAGCCTCCCGCAAGTATCTACCCGGATAACTCCGGGTCAGCATCGGAAACCGTGTCCGCTCTGAAGCTGTCAAACATCCCATCGCTCGATAAAACACGATCAGGTAAGGCGAAAGATGATTGAGGGTCCCTCCTCTCTCTTCTTGCGCATGTTGGCGCGTCACCTTCCACAGGAGCCGTGCCCAATGAACCGGAGCTCTTGACAACACTAGCTCCACAAATCCCACTTGCCAACCATGCATGTAGGCGGTCTTGGTCGGCTGCAATATCTGAAGCAATGCAGTCGCGACATTTCTCCGCAATCGATCTTTGTAATCCCGCGTCCGGAAACCGTTCTTGGGATGCCTGGCAACTTTGAAAAGATCATTGTAGGAGACTTCTTCCTCCTTAGACACCTTCACGCTCTCGGCCTCGAAGAGGAGATACCCTTCCTCGCCTGCACACCTTCCTAACACCTGCGCCCAGTCACTAATGTCCCACCTCTCGGGATGTGGGCAGAATCCGCGCGAGGGCTTGTGTTTCTCCTGCAAATACTCGCGCACCATCTCCGGACACGTCCAATTCCATCCCCACAGGAGGAAATCAAGCTTCAACCTTGTCAACACATCTTGGAATGCGCGCAGACCGATCTGCGGCACTCTAAGTGGAGACACTCGCAGCTGGGGGATCTTCGACATCTCTCTTGCTTTTCCTGCACACACACAGACTTTCTTGCCTTCCGCTCGATCTCTCACAATCGCCGCTGCGCGTCGACCGCTCAGACATTGACTGAAATCGCTCTCTCTTCTCTTGCGCGCTCAATTTCTCTGCTCGCAAACTCTCTGCAAGGTCCGTCAAGATCCTCGCGCAACTCGTCTCCGCACTCTCTCTTCTCACTACAGGTCTCTCCGCCCTTGCGCTTAATCTCTGAAGCTGGAAAACTCACAATCAAGAATGAGAGAATGAGACTGGAGAGCAGACTTTTCTTCTCCGAATTCAAGATCTCCAACGCTCTCCCTGGGTACAATCAAACTTGATTACGCAGCCGGCTATACGGCCTAACGGTTCTCCCTCGCATGCTCGAATTCACGACTCCGCACTGCGCGCATTTGCATGCGTGAACGTTGAATTCTCCCGCCGCCATCGTCTTCCGGACTCGAGTTCGCCATCGTCTTCCGGACTCAAGTTCGCCGCAGTGGAGCGTATGCGTCGACTATGTTGTCTTTTCCCAACCTGCCCATCGCCGGAGGCGTATCGCCGCTGGCGTATTCCTTCTCCGTCGGCGCCTCGCTGGAGCCGCACATTAAGTCGGCGCAAATCACGCCGGCGCGTATTCGTACCACTCGTTTTGTCCGTTCTGCCGCCAAATCGCCGACGGCGCATATCCCGCCGGCGCGAATTATGCCAGCGCACCCGCCTGTCCGCGCCACGTCGGAGGCGTACCGCCGGCAGGCGCTTCTCTTCCGCTCCGCAGCCGCCAAAGGCGCTTCCGCCTCTGAGTCAATCTCCTCTTATGAGCGCGTGGTTCCGCCAAAGGCGCATCGCCGAAGGCGTACGGGGTCCTCTCCGACGGTGAATCCTAGCGCGAACAGCGCATGTCCGGATGCGAGTTTTCCGACGCTCATAACTTCTTTGTCCCTGATTCATCTCCGGCGCTCTTGGGCTCGTTAGAACGAGCGTCCCAAGCTCTTTCCAATGAGACCTCAACCAACTAGAACTACCGTGAATCCTGATCGTTATGAAGGTTTCCCTCCCGCGCCAACGGCGCATCGCCGAAGGCGCACTCATGGTCGGAAGCCTTCAGAGGTCCTTGCCGGCTTCTGACGTCTTCAGCGACATCTCCTCCGGAGGTGTCTGCGCTGGAAGCGTACCTTCCCTAAGCGCTGGAAGCGCGTGGGTAGAGACACCTCAGTAAAGGAGATATTGCCGAAGGCGCCGAAGGCGTTTGGCGCTGGTACGTCTAACTCCGCGATTCTTCGTGATCTCGTGACGATCTCCTCAATCCACTCTATTTAACGTACCATTTCCTAACTACAGACACTGCTTCAGTACTTCTTTTCTAAAATTGTTTAAATTCTGCAAAAAAAACAAAAAGTGTGTTACCACATGTTGCCATTTGGTTTTATTCACAATGTTCATACTGGTTGCAAGTCCTGTCCAAGCAGCTGATCCAGACCCCCTCCAGGATTTCTGTATCGCAGATCTTAGTCAGGGGTCATTTTTCAACGGCTACCCGTGCAAGGATCCCACAACAGCCGTGGTAGAAGACTTCATCTTCAAGGGCTTGAAAGATGCGAGCATCATATCAGTGAAAGTCCCTGGGGCGCAGCGGCAACTCTCGCCTTCGCCCGTCATTGGCCCGCTTTGAACACGCTCGGAGTTTCGTTGGTGCGCCTTGATTTGATTCCAGGTGTGTCATTGCACCACACACTCACAACCTGGCCACTGAGCTTGTGTTCGTCACAGCGGGAGAGCTGTATATTGGATTCGTGGCCAACAGTGACGACGTCAGCGCTCCCAACAAGCTGTTCGCTGGGATGGTGAAGGCCGGAGAGGCGTTCGTCATCCCCAGAGGCCTGGTGCATTTCCAGATGAACAACGGAACGATCAATGCTTCCACAATCAACTTCCTTAACTCTCACAATCCGGGAATCTCATTTCTCCCTCTCACTCTGTTTGCAGCCCAGCCAGCTGTGGATCCGGCTCTGCTGGCGAGGTCTTTCGCAGTCGATCAAACTGCACTGTCTGATCTGGCAGTTTTCTGGTCGCCATTCAGCAATGTGTTTGTGTAACGCTTAGAAGCAGTATGGGCATCTATAAACTTTGCTAGACTGAGCTTGTACGAGGACATGGACATGACCGTGATTATCAAGGCACCTGTGTGTCCAGATTGCAACGATAATGTAAAGTAGCTTGGATTTCTGTTGCCACCAATTTAATTAAAAGATAGAAAGATGGACGTGTAAATTGGGTTGTTTAGGGTAGGCACTTGAGTGTCCAGATGAAAGAGATGGGATGAGATAAGGCTTAGAAGCTGAATGGGACACCGTAGACTGGCTAGACTGTGCTTCTACGCATACTTAGACGTGATAGTCAGAGTACCTGCTTGTCGACTTTAAAGAAATAATGTTCATATAATAGACCTTGGTCTTTGTTCGGATGTGATTGGCATGAAGTCAGCACTATAATATCTGATCCATATAGATTATCTGATTCAATTGATTGGGAGATGGACGTGCAAATTGGATTGTTTCTTTAAATGGAAAGAACATCAGGCGATAATGGGATATTGTTAATCCATACCGTGCGAATATATCAGCTGCAGCCACATCTTTGATCTACATAATTTATGTCTATGAATTGGACAATCAACAGGTCATGTAAACACTGTCACAAGATGGGCGATTATGCTTGCTACAGTATGTCTCCCAACTTCAAAGTTGGGAGTCAAACTGTGGCAAGCATAATCGTGGAGCCAAGTAATGATCTATGTTTCCACAAATGAGTGCGATCGCTGCTTTATGTCCTGCAGAACTTTGGAATCCTTCATATGTTGCTTACGTTCATGCTTCTGAAACGGTATAAGTGGAGATACACAGAACCCCAGGGACACTTCAGAGATGGGTCCCTGAGAAAATCTGCTTCTACGGTGCCCAAAGACCTTCTTGGCACTATAAAATTTTTGCGGAAAGGAAGGGTTGGATGTTAGTACTTTCTCCGGTTCAGCGCGAGCGCTCGAAGATCGATTGGGGAAGTTATAGTTTGAGTGCTCTTACTAGTCTTGTTTCAGTTTTCATCCGCAACCATTTGACAAAAGTCCGCTACCAGTATTGTTACCAAAATTTTGATATCTTCATTTCCCCTAATAGTATCAAGAGTACACATTGCGAAGATTTGAAACTTTGAGGAAGATGTTTTTAAGATAGGAAGATAGAAGTAGATAGTTTAGTATTTTTCCAAAGAGTAGCTACTAAAATTAAAAAGATTAGAACGGGAATCTCTAGAAATGTTGTTCTTAAACGGAACCATGGTACTTTTTCCCATCAGATTATCTGAAGTTGGTGGATTTGAATTGGAACCACTTCTCGGCAGTGCTGTCAAAGTTTGATGTCTTGAATCCGTCTTTCCATCAACCAGGGATTAAATTTGAGCTAGTTGTGAGTTTTGAGTCCGGTGTCCAACTACTTCAATGGCTTCATATCTTGTTCTATCAAGGCTATCTAGCTTTAATTCTCTTTAGTTACTCTGAGCGAAAATACCCATTATGAACAAGTAGACACTAGATTCATTACTACAATTGTCAAAAAAGCTATTGTTACCATTGAGTTCAAGTTGTTGAAATATTGTGCAAATCTAAATTGTCAAGCTGCCAAAATCGCTTTGCTTCTTGATACTCGATCCTGCAATGCGTACTCTAAAATGATAGAACTCAAAGATCTGATTTGATTCAATTTGACGGTGAATTACGACTTGTGTTTAGAGGAGCTCATATTGCCAATTTTGAATGTATTCGGAACTTTTTTACAACAAATGAACTTTACAAATGAATATGATACACTATCAATACTCAATATGTTTTTCAATAATTTTCATAATTAACTTCAAGAGGTCATAAATTCCAAAAGATATTGCTTATTATTTACTTTGCTTTACACAGTTCAAATTAGTTTTTAATTTCTTGATAGCAATGAGTCAACAGTCTTTAAATGCTTGTGATCATTATAAATTCTGAAACGTTTTTAATATCAACATTAAAAGAGATTAAAAAATTAACATTTCATATGAAATTCGAAGAAAAAAACCTAGAATTTAACTCTTCCAACATGTAAGATGAATACTATTGTTTGTCATCCTTTATCATTTATTGTTAATTGGTTATGTCCATATCAAATTCATGCCAATTTCCAACCTCCTATACATAGTGGTCACCAAAGTGTCAGAAAATAAGGACTAAAATTTTAATGATTTCATCAGTGACTTACTCCGCCCTCGTATCTCAACTGTATAGTATCAACCTCTTTGTTTCTTATGTCTCGACATGAGAAACAATACGCACAAGATTTTTTATTTAGATGCCCAGTTTCACAACCTATTGTTAGAAGGGTGGACACCGTAACATTGTAGGCAAATTCTAAAAGGAGGATACATGTACTGCATGTGAACGATTAGATTCATTCAAAACGGTGATGTCACATTGGCTTCTCATCATTTAATTCCTGAATTCAGCTTTCTTGGAATGGCTTGTGCAACGACGGAGGCAGATGAAATTGACGTGCATCTGGGTTCGACTTTTCTGTTGCCATTTCTCTGACAACTTTACCACATCAATAATTATCTTCCAGAAATGTACACTAACTGCTATACAGAGTTCGTTTGTGCTATTTTGGGATTCAAACGAAGCCGGTGTATCTTCTCTTCGATTCCCAAATCACATCCTGTAGCGATCATGACACTCGCCTGCGTGTACTTCTTGACAGGTGCTTTTGCAGGCCAACGTCAAGAACATTCTTCCTTCTGACTGAGAAGCGGCAATACATTACCCGGCACTTTAATGAAACTTTCGTCATAGATTTCTACACGTCTACATCATGTAAAATCTCCTGCTTTCTGAAAGCAAACTGCTGTTTTTCTGAAAGCAAACTGCTTTCAACACTCCCTCCCACGAGTGATGGCACAATGAGAGTAAATCAAAACATTGATTGGGTGAAAGTGAAAGCTGCATACATGGAAGGTGACTTCGAATATCTGAGCTGTCATTTATTCCAGACAAATGCTGAGGTCAGAGACGATGAGGCGTGCGCACGTCGGCAGCTTACAAAATTAGATACAAGACCTCACTGTCCATTTAATTCTGCATCGTGCCCTCATGACGAGAGCTGTGAATGATAGTTGTAACTAATTGCACGTCTTGAGACGAAGAGGTCGGAATAGGAACCTTCCTTCACTTGAAGGTGAACACATTCCTCGGTTAAAAGCCTAAAGAAATTGGTCTTGTCGTATATGACGATCAGTTTCCATCCTTCCAGTTGATTGTTTCATCTTAGGCAAGACGGAAAGATTTGATTTCTGCTCGTTAAGGACACACCATCTAATCAAAAGTTTCTAAGAGTTTATACAATGTAACGATCGGTGGTGAAATATTCACAACTTAAATTGCTTCATTTGTTACAGCTCCACGAAGGTGCGAGCTAGCAAAGCCCGTTCAACTTCCTTCCAGTCTTTCACTCTGGTTATCAAGGGATGTTGAGGACCGCAAGGAGTCTTGCTCCAAGGATAGCTACCGTGGAAATCAAACAAGAGCACTTCGATGCCACATTCGGCACACTCCATGGCGTAGCGAGGGTTGTCGTCAATAAGGATGTGTGCACCCAGTGATCTGCATAACGCAACATACCACGGTGCGTTTCCAATCCTTAGATAGATGAAGAAAAGAACACATCAATTTGCCATTGAGAACCTCGCGCAGCAGATTGAGTGAGCAAAAGAGGCTTCGCTTCTACAAAAATCTCTCCCAAAACTCCATTCTCTCTCTACACTTTTTACAAGCTTAAGGTGAGCCTATCCAACTGTAATTTATTACAAGAGATCGGTGGCTCGGACTGGTCCGATACTTTACGAACTCATTTCTCTTATACGAAATTTGCAAAAAATCAGAAGAAATGAAGAGAAGCCTTTTCGTACAGTATAAACCTTATGAAGATACCTATATCTAGTCACGGTAATACTTCGGAGCTTTATGAAACTTACCCAGATCTGAGAAGATCTTCGTTAACACACACTTCAACCTCGACACATCAACTACTCTTAGAAGTCACCACGAATCAACGCGTACAGTCAAGCATGAGAGCCCTCATAAACTGAAACGATGAGATGATCGATGAGCGCCATACCTGCATATTTCTGATTTGGGCCTTGCCGAACCTTCCAGGGCAAAGTGATTCCCAAAATGAACCTCCTTAAAAATTCCTGAGTAATATCTTTCAATCCACTCGAGAGTAGGTTCTCTGATGACGTGCTGACGTGATCTGTGACACCAAAACACAAATCAGAAGTCTGCTGAAGTATTCAAACATCCGAGGCACCGCTGTAACAACGTAACACTGAGACACCTTCTCCATAACAAATAACAACGTTCGCATATTATACAAGCAAAGTCAGGCGTAGCTTCCTGCTTCAACGAGCGTCATTCTGTCAACTTGATTCGCAGACAATACATGGGGTTCTACAAGTATCCTGGTATATGTACACTACAACCAACATCCAAGCCGACAACGACCCCCCTGCGCAAACATATCGGCTGCGCATCCCACCACAAGGGTGTCCTTCACTCACACGTGTCCTACGCCAAGTAGCTCACTCAAAGAACAGAATCCTAGGACATGGTCGATAACTAAGACATGAGACGGATGCCAGGTTAAACCATAATTCACTGTCTCTCGTGATAGTGTCATTCCATTAAAACGTGAACTATTCTGAAGAACAAAATGAGTATGCTTACGTTACAACAACCAAATTGCAGTAGGCTGCCAAGTGAAGAAGCGTCTGATAAGCGCCTGGAACAGGACGAATTCCATTCTTGAAGTGCTTCGACTCGAAAAACGCATGAACACGATGATTGGCTGTGAAAAACGGACCGAAAACAAGAAGGGTTGGTTCAGCTTGGAGAACGACCATGACAACCTGCTTCTCTTCCAAAATGAGCCAATTTATCCCAGCATACTACAGAACGACAACAAGATGACAATTTCATAGACATGCACTAGTCACTAGCTGAGGGGATGCAAGGCGCAGTAGATCGTAACTGGCGTGGCATCACTAGGAACACTTCAATGACCACAGCGAGTTCTACTTGTCAGTTAAGAACGTCACTTCTACACCGACTAACATTGTTAGGTTACTACGGACAGACTGGCCGTAGTACCTTCAGCTTGCGAGCACTTCCATATCTGCACACACCCAGCATTATCAAAGCTTTTGTCACTGACTATTCCGACACCGACTCTGAGCGGCTCTGAAGACAATCATTCTAATTGGAGAAATCTTGACTTGATCATAATAGAAGCTTAGTGCATCAATTTTGAACCCGACAAATTAAAACTAGGCCGGGAATTTCCAAGTTGTGATGTTGCGCTAATGTAACCGTCGCAGACATATACCTTCATGAAATCGTAGATGTAGTACTCTGACACGTCATGATGTAGCAAGTACTCTTCAGCCATGAATTCATTTAAAGTTGCCAAGAAACTTCCCAACACTGCATTATCGAAAACAAAAAGTACATCTGCCTGTTATGGTAGTCTCAAGAGGTGAAAACCCAACTTTCACGAACCATAATCCGATAGCATGGGATGCTATACAAACCAAGAAATCTCCACAAAATTCAAAGCCGCATCATTGAGGGGTCATTACGTTTCTGTCTGGGTTCTGCTTAGAATTCAGTACGCACTTAACCCGAGACTCACCTTCGTCAACATCAACAGCTACGCAGAGTTGCTTCAGTGGATCACTTATGGTACCAGGTGACACCAAGCTCTTTTGACACGCGGAATCCGCCTCGGTCCTCTCGAAATGGCTTGTGTGGCGTCGTGAATCGTCCGTGAGTATCAATGGAGGGCTACTCCTTCGAGCTTGCTCAACAAGAGTAAAGGCATTACTTATGCCGGCAGCTGACGCAGACTGCCGATCAATGTTTCTCGAGGGATGTTCTCCTCCTCCTACCCTGGAATCCAACCTACTAGGAGACCGGATGTTATGCTCGCGAATCTGATCCACGCAAGAATTATGAGGAAGATCATTCTCTCCTCTTCCTCCAGAGCTAAAAGAGGCCACAGATTGCAGGCGTCTGGTCCTAAACGCCGGAGACCGACGATCATCCCTCAATCCCCTACTGGCAGCAGCACAAGCTGAAGCTCCTGCCGAACTATGCTGGCTACAGGACCAATCGACCGATGGAGAGGTATGATGATTGAGCCTGACATTCGTTCTGCATTGCGTAAGAGTGGGCGCGGTGATACTGAGTGGTGTGAACAGATGGATGCCAGATCCACAAGCACCGCCCGCACGTAAAGTAGGGCTCTCCAATCCCGTACTCATAATGCGAGCTACAGCAAGCTCCATCAAAACAGATTCTTGTCAGTGAACCACGGCAACCGACCCCCTCGGAAACGCCGAATCGCGTCAATACAACACTGTTCTTTACGAAATCTCTGGATTTTCACTCCTCCTCAGGCTCGCAACTTCAAGAATCCGAGCAAGTGGAAAAACCTCAATCAGAACTGTCGACAACTCCAGCCTCTAACGAGATCTGAAAACCAGGCCTGCGGTAAAATGCTCGATGTACCGCCTCCGAGACGAGGATGAGCGGGAACGCGAAACCCGAAGAGGCATTGGCCTAAAGCTCAAGCGACTCAAAATTCCGGAAGTAATCACCACCACCATAAACCTCAGAGAAGAGGAAGAGCACGAGCCAACAACAACAACAACATCAACAACCGCTGACGCGTCACCTCAAGGCCACTCTGCCTCAGCCTCCTCTCTCGTCATTCATTCCCACGGTGGTCGCGCAGAATCTTCAGCCAAAATATGGCGATTTGCGCTGCCTGCCTCTGTGGGCGAACTATGCTCAGCCCCAATTTCTCTTCGCCGTCACCATCGAAGAATCTGGCGCCCGAGAAGTGTCGACCTCCTGCACCTTTGCTTCTCTTCACTCGCTGCAATTGTCCTCTCTATGCTTGTCAGCGGCAGCAACTCCCGCGACCGATCCCGCTCCGCATTCGCCAGGCATTCGGTGCCCGTTGTCATTCATCCACGCTCCTCGTAGCGTCGTGCTTCGGTCGCGAACGACCGAACCTCCCACAGGTTCGTCCACGTGGGTATCGGGTTCGGGGTCGGGTCCGACGCAGTGACGCACTCCAGAAGCGCTGTTGGAAGAAGCAAGCCTGCTACTGTAGTTCCCAGTCTCGCGCTCGCTGGCTGGCTGGCTGGCTGGCTGACGGCGGCCGACCAAAGCAGACGGTACGATCTTTTCCTCCGTCAAGTCCCGTCGTGAGGTGAGGTCCCGACCGCGGGACCGAACGGGAGTGAATTAACTCACGGCGGCCAGGTACGGCCCATCTTACTTTCAAAGGACGTGATTTGGACTTGAGGGAGAGTTCAGAGAGTGAGTAAGGGCCTTCCTCACTAGGCTACAAAATGTTCTAATTCCACATCGGTTGCTCCAGTCACGTCAGTACTGCAGTGTTGTCAATTCGGGAGCCTTCGCCGTCCCTTGCTCCAGCTGCAAGCCTGCAATCTGGACATTTCAGTTGCATCCGTAGAATGCTCGACAAGTTGGACTGTTCTTCTTCGTTTTTCGTAAATAAAATCCCCGTCACATTTTTGGGAGACTGGATAAAATCTCAATTTGACCACTTGGATTTGGAAGGCTCATTGAATGCCTACCTCAAGCGGGAAATTTATGTCCAATGATATTCTCGTAGATCAGAAAAGATTTAGCTCCTTTACACTGTGAAGAATATATACTGTCATTGTTCAATGGTTGGTCTCGAAGATATTAAATGTATATTGGAATATAATTCCGCTCGTCATCTAATGCAGTCATCTCAAAGATTATACGGTCGGTTCGTAGCCCATCACGTCCTGCATTTGGAATCCCTTTCCAAATCCTCCCGTCAAAGAATCAACCAGGATCAACAATCTTTATCCTTTTTTAGTAACAACAATCTCTATCCTTGTGCGAAACATCCTCAACTTCTTCCACCAATAGTCATTCTACTTTATGAGCTTTTTGTCGGGTAAGTAAATCTTGTGAGTTATTGATGGGAATTATAGGTGTGGCTCCGGTCAATTACTGTGGAATATATTTACATTTCGATCGTTCACGTTATTGTATAAAAATTCGAGTAATATACATTTGAAAACGATGTACATTGATTAGAAAAATAGTTTACATTATATAATAAATTCAAATAAAATCTATAATGTATTATTCTTGATACATTTTATTCTCATCATAGTTGCAATTGGCTAGTGTTATTTTAAGATTCTGAAAGTAATTTCTATATCTTGGATGTGTTGATTTCATGTGTTCAGTTTTCAGGATGTTTTCCAATCTGCTATTCAACGTGAATTGTTTCAAAGCACATACAAGCGTGTTTCTTTCGGTATATATTGATGTGATTCGCAACACTATATAGTTCATGTGTGCAACCAATATAAAATACTTGAATCTATCTACTGTACATTAAAGTAAAATCAATACGGAATGCATGATGGATGATAAATCCTCATTCTTGCGCAGCCTAAATTATACCATGAAGCGTTTATGAGCTGGTTGAGGCACTTTTCAAAAAGTCAAATGGAAATTTGTCACAAAGTTCTGGTAAATTGCAGATTTGAAGAGACGTACGATGAGAAAAATCAGAAGAATCAGCTTCACCGTTTAATTATCAAAGAATATCAAATGTGATAACATGGATTGGAGTTGGAATTCAGACGATCATTTTGTACGACTGTTTTATTCGTTTTACTGCATATCCTTCAACTACGACTTCTGCTCGGAAATCACTATCTTCGAGAACCAAGCAAAGTCAGCATCGAACAAATCCTTGCACACTCTTCAGTCGAACATCAAAGAGTACACATTTTAGTCGTGGAACTCCACTTCAAGATGGAGCAATGTATGTAGTCATTTTCCGTCTCCTCTCATTCCCTTCTCATTACTTTTGTGTTGAGCATGACCGTGTGGCCCACTTTGTGGCTCACGTCAGGACCTTCCAAGAAGGAAGGAAAAGGACGGTTCCTCACGACCAATGAAACCAAGGAATTGAGCTAGTGCATTATGAGGGAAAAGTTCCATGAAAAGTCCTCTCAAGCTCTGCTTTACAGTACTAACTAATCGCCAGTTCTGCAAAAGTCTTCTTATGGTTCCCAGGTGAGCGGCAGGAGTCTTCGGAGTTTAGTAAATGTAAGGTCGTTAGCATAATAACAATAAAAAGTGCCGGAGAGACATGTCATTACCAGTGGTTCCAGAACACTGTGCACATATATTATTCCATTTCGTAGTTTTAAAAATGAGTTAGGATATGTTTCTGGTTGAGTTACTTCGTTATCTCATTGTTCAGCAACTACATTTAAAATTGGGTCTAGAACTCAAGACTTGGAAATACTACGAATTTTCTCAAGTGAGAAGGATCAGTTACTAATGAATTTAATTTTATCGGTCCCATAGAAACTATCAATATCTCTTTCACGTAGCCTAAAGTTTGAGCTTGTCACCATATCGATCAAACAAGAGTACAGTTTTTAAAGTTTTCACTTGATTGTTTTCCACTGCACCTTGCCATCATTGGCAATGTACTCATCAATCCTATTGTATGCACAATATCTGGCCGAGTAGACCATGAAATACATCAAACCCCGCATTCCACTAGCATATGAACCTTTAGACACCATGCATTCCTCACATAAGCGGGACAACATTCGACTTCAACATGGCAAGACATTTCACTCCTATGCTACTATATGTCAGAGCACAACTAGACCTCTTCCAATCTCAGTGTACACTTAACCCCAAAATCCTCTGAGATGGTCAATCAAGCGGGAACTCTGAAGTGTTGACCTATAGATCATTCTTTTTAAATGAGTATTCCTCAACATGTGGAAGAAGGTTAAAGGAAGGGAAGAATCTTCTACCAATCAAAATGTTGCACAAGAAGGTGAAGCGAGACCTTTACGGATGTCATTTTCATCTGAGTCGACATTGAAAAAGCGTTTGACAGAATATACCACACGTTTTATTGGCTACCATTGAAGAATTAGGCTTCCGAATTATTTGATTGACCAAAGGACATGTTCAAAGAGGAACATAATCGAGCCAACAAGCTACGAGCAATAATTCATATTAGAGTGGACGGTGTCATATACACTCATGTTTTTTTAGCTATTTCAACAATCCTCTTGATGTCGATAGGAAGCATGAGTCGGTAGAGATAGAATGAACTAGGGTGAATGGAAGAAAGAGTGTTTGAATTAGCTTCTTACGATGACATGTGAGTCATGTGAGTCATGAAAAGGGCATTTAGATTAAAAAAAATGCGAGATGAATGATATTATCTAATCGTTCGATGACGAGGAAGAGGAAAGTTCGCCAAGCACTTGGGTTGTCTCATATACAAGTGGTAGGATCACGAGGAAGAGGAAGATTGTCAAATGACTGGGTTATCCCATCGAGATAATCTATGCTAAACAGATTATCTACAGTAGTGAAAAGGTTCAAAATTACCTAAGATATTGGCCGTTCCATTAACTGCCAGTTTGTGAGTGTTGCCAGAGCAGCACACATTTTCCAGTCAAGAGGAGCTTCACAAGTTTAGCAGAGTTGTTATAGGGAACCAACAACGGAGGGAAAGCAGAGTTCCTATGGTGGATTGGGCAACACTCAGGAAGTCAAAAGTTGGGGGACCCAGAGTAGATATTTCCTTCCTGTGAAGCATATAGACAGGCTTATAAGGGGGAGAAGCGACGAATGGATAGTTGTGGCCTCTTAAATGTTAGTGAACTCGCTAGATAGAACCAGAACAAACTCCGTCAAGAGGTCAGTCTTAGATAATCTTCTATTACACCTCATGGGAATCACAGCATGACCTCTCACTCTGACTAGCATGATCAAAGTGTGGAACGATATGAGGAATAACATTAGTCTTAAATTTGTTGGAAGCTCATAACTCTACAAGAAGAGCTAGGAATCGGTCTGGCATATGTGAAGGATGGATGTCTAAGGAGACCGGTGCTAATTGATGAAGGATGCATGGCAGATGTACAAGCCGCATAGTTAAGAGATGCACTGATGGGATAAGAAGAGGAGGAACATCAGATCAAAGGCAAGACATGAGTGGGATGATGGTTTGATTGTAAATGTTTGATGGAAAACTTGCTTCTCATTTTGAACAGTCCGGATTATATTGCGGGCAAATCATGGAGTTCGAACTGGGAAAGCTGGGAAGTGAACACAATTCAGTCGATGGGGTTCCTAGTAAAAGAAGAAGAGCAAGAGAAGAAGAAAAATTCGAGGCGGGAGAGAGTAAACAACTGAGACCAACACAGATACACACAAACCAACTATACTTTCGATATCGACAAGTCCAGTGTAGAGGAAATGGAGAAATCCCAGAGTAAGGAGTTGAAAGCGATTCTAAGGAAGCGTTCGAAGTGGGCATCAGGAGACAATCCTCAGAGTTGACATGCCGTGGATTGAGTTAAACGCATGAACATTGAAGGTGACGGGCAACCGTGCCTTGCTGTCCGGGGAAGAAAAGGTGAAGTAAAGGACTGCAATCTCAATCGGTCAATCTCAAGTCACAAGCAGAAAATTACAGAGCGAAGCAGATCTGTCGATGAGATTCCCACAAGGCGACAAGGAGCCTCGAGCCTAGATCTAGTTTAGGTTAGATCTGGTCTTGCAAGACGCGTTCCTGAACCGCTTGCGCTTGCCAAAAATACGATAAACTTTTATCACAGCATTTTTGAAATTCCGCTTTTCCGCATTCGGTCAAACCTCTCGGGAATCTGAATCTGATCGCCGAACTGTTGCCATCTGGAAGCTCAAGTTTAGCCCGTTCCAGATTCTGCTTCTACGAAACGGAGAGACGCACCTTTTTCCTCCGAAGGATCTTTATCGTTTCTAGGGTTGGATGGCGTACCTGGTGCTGGCGAGGGAGCCAGAAAACATTGTCGGCATGTTCTACGCTGGACCAACCTGCCAACGAGGGTCACTTTCATGACGGTTTTGCGAAATTCTAGACTTTCCTCCTCCAAGTGGATTGCACAGTCTGCGCTGAGCAACATTCACGGGGATAAGTTTTCAATGCCGAGGGAGTCCAGTTTTGGTAACCACCCACCAACAACATTCAGCAGGATTCTGAAGATATATAGAATCCTCCCGATGTCACTTGAACTTCAGCCTATTGCTGAGCCCAAGATATCAAATAAAGACTTCAGTGTAAATAGCCACTCTTCTAACAAATTCACGACGACACAATACTATAAGGGAAAATTCCCGTCGTATCCGGCACTAAGCCACCGAAGCCTCAGCCGATTGGTCAAACCATGACATCTCATGAATTTCTGGTATGAATTGGAATAAAGTGTTTCCCCCAGTAGTAAGAATTATGTAGCACGAAGATATAAAGATCCACAGGATGAAAGATGAAAGATGAAAGGGAAGGAGTAAGAATCTGGTTTGCCCCGGTGTCAGGAAATACAAGCCGTTGTCTTCCAACCTTCATTGGAGGATATATCGGGAGGGTTACAGGCTGCCGTCACATACAGCGAACGGTGACCTGGTGACCATGAAGTGTGTACCAGTCCTCGTCCACGGTGTAACTGTACCCTGGTTCTCTGCTTGGACTGTAGTCAGCCTCCCGGAGCGTCATCATTTCAGAATTCAGACGGGAGGTCCCGGCTGTCCGTCGGTTTACTCACGCACATCCTTGTGCTAGGGTTGCTACACACTACTGGACCCTCGCGGATCTACTACAGTCAGTGCCTCGCTCAACGCACGCAAGGAGTGATCTTGTTTCGTGTCTACCACGTCGTTGGTCATCGGGAGGAATCATGCGGTGCGCACATGTAACGGCGGAAGGGGTCGCATGTGCGATTCCCTCTGGTCTACTAGTCTGACCGTCCAGGGCTGTGAGAAGCACACAGGTACCGGTGGACGAGCTGTACTTCTATTTCCCGCTTACTGGCCGGCCCTCAATCGGATCCTTTATGCGCCGCGAGATGCTCCTGAAAAGCGAACACCGTCTGTCGTCTCCGGTGCACCGGTCACCAGCCCTCTGGCAGCCCGACGCGGTTGTTTCGAGTTCAGTGTACATTTACCTGCACTGTAGTGTACGTTGTAGAGGTCAAGAGCCTCTCGTGGGACCCCGGCGACCTTCTCCATATCCTACGTGTGCAGCCGACTTCCATGCTGGAACACCGTGTCGGCTGCTAAGCCCAGCACTACACGTAGACTTTTGCCTCCGCTACTTTTCCTCGACCGACCGACTACACACAGTGCACCGATAATAATTGCGATGTTGGATGGCATGCGAGCGAGCGTAAAAAGTGATTTAAATGCTACCGAGCATCTCCAATCATCCAGCATGAAGAGCATGTCGAGTGCTTGCAAGAACACATGAATCATTCCCGGCTTGGAGAACACAGGAAGAGCCCCATCCCAGCCATTATGTATATATTGAACTTTGCTTATTTCATATATATATATATATATAAGTGTTTATGTATATATATACTAGTATATTATAAGTTGGAGTTTTTTTCTTCACTAACACAGGAGTTGATTTTTTTGTTCAAGCTTTTTTTTCTCTCTTCTAAATTTAACTAGTCGCAATATTATGGAAATGTTATACGCAGTTTGAAATAAGTTATAAATGCTTGAGAATTGTTGGAAAATTTTGAAATATTTATCTTTGGTGACGTGATCAAACCATCATATCTTATAACACAAAGTTTGGCATAAAGGCAGACATTCTGTTTATGATTTGTGATTGTTGTAGGCTTGTTTTTGGGATCTATGCAAGGTACGTGGATGTAAAAGCATTTCTTTTGCATGACAATTTTTGTCAAATGATGTTTTGCTTTTGAGATATGCTATCCTACATCTATTATAATTCTATAATTGAAAAATATCCATCTTCACGAATGGACAGAAACACTTTCTTAATATTGTATAGATATACCTTTAGGAAAAAAATACCCTACTTTTAAAAGATAAATTCAGTAGATGGAATCTATAGAAGAGCAATCTCGTTATATAACAAGTCTTCATTTTTCATTTCGAATGCAGACCGTTTGACCTCGAAAGCGAGTGTTTAGAATTTTAAAACTTAAAACTTTTAAAGAATATTACAAATGCAATGCAATTAGCCCTAGCAGTATTTACCTTCTTTGGTTTCACCAATGGACCATTTTCTATAGTATTCCTAGCTTTATCTTATTTTACCTTGTGCACTTGTAAATGTACCACTTTATTTGCACTTCAAACTGCACAATATGTTCGATGATTTCCCTTTGTTTGTGTCTCGGATAGAATCGGAAGTAAGCAAATCGACTACAGAAGACCGGGAACTTGATCGGCGTACGTCGCTGGCTTTACCTTGTTAAGAGCATGTGTGACCATGTTTGATTAGATTCTCAGATCCTCACAACAACTTCAGAAAATATCACAACAGCCTTGACGTGTGATGACTCAAGTGCTCACGATTCATTTAATCATGAAACTAACGATAAGCTTAATACGTGTCAGTGTACATCCGAATCCCATAAGATGCCAAACTGTTCTGACTGATTCACGATTTTCAACTCTTGGAAGGAAAATCCGCCATTTTCGAAACAGTCACCGTTTTGAGCGGATCGTTAAATCGGATTTGCATATCCAATCGTGACAAATGCATCCAACTGAACACGCGGACTTATCAACCAGGTTACGTACGAAGGTACACTTGGTTCTCGTCTACAACACTCTCAATCTTACTCAATAGGCGTCATGGATCAACTGTGGTCAGCTGGCATGGATCTGCTGTGGTTGCAATCTAGGCCGCTCCGGGTAGAACTCATATTACCAGGTCCATGAATTAAGTCAAACAACGTCAAAGTCTCTTAACCTTGTCATATCTTCGTCTAGACTCTCAGCAGAACATGAGTGTGGATTATGGCCCAGTTGCGTCGCAGGGCAGGAAGATTTGACAATACGAGCTGAAATAACTTTGAAACTTTAAGTTTCATGTGTTCTCCTGATGCTCAGATCAAGACGACAATGAATAATAGATGTTGGGGAGAACATAGCAGAGAAGGTCCACCTAACAAAGCCCGTTAAAACCATTTGCAAAGGGAAGGAATGATTGTATACAATTCACGAAAATTTAAGATGTTTCACAAGCAAAAAGAAAAAACACCGCGTTTCTAAATTGAAGGATCGGTGTCTAAGATACAAATTGGGGTGGCACATATTTATCCAGGAATATAAGAACATGTACACATGTGCAAGAATTTGCTGAAGTGCAAATTTCAAATATACAAGGGAGTCTGGCGATATCTCAAATATAGTAAACTTGAACAATGGACAAGCATGGCTTGCAAAGTATATCTGACCGACATCTTTTATTTTCTCTATATATATAAGAAGCTTTCAACGTCCTACTTTTCTACGCGCACTGCACATAACCATAAAAAAAAACCTAGATCATAGAATATAGAGGAACTTTTGAAATTCATTTAAAATTGGATAATAGGGCAAAATGGTCTGGCGGGACTCATAAATCCTACATTGATGATATCAAAGGGTATGATGAGATTATTCCACAGTAACATCATTCTAAAACTTATAATCTATTGCATCACGCTGATAATAAAAATCATCAAAAGAACTGTGTGCAAAACATTTATGAATCATTTGTTGTATTCAATCACATAAAATAGATGAAATCAATTTTCATAAATAGTTAACTTAGGTCTTGTTAACCCAAGTTAGTGATACTCTAATGAGTAAGACTGTCATTATAAACCCCAAATTTGTGTCACAAAGAGCTACGACAAAGCACTTTATATAATGTGATTTGTCGTAGTTCTTTGTGAAACAAATTTGGGGTTTATGAGTAAACAAATTGTGTACTTCTGCATGTATACTACCGTGTGTAAACATAAAACCCGAGAATCATCAGTGACAAAAAATTCAAGCCAACCCACCAACACCTAACACGGTTCACACTCAAGAGTGCTACTTCCATCCGGAAATTCACATGTTATTTTGAGTGTACTCTAATACACAAACCCTGGGGTATATATACCCCAAAACAGACGGCCCTTCTAGCTAGATATAGCTACGATCTGAGGTTACTCGTTAACACTTTGAAGTTGAATCATATATTTCTACATAAATCCTGTGGCAGTTTTGTGTTGCATGAATTCTAATTTTCTTTTACAATTTACTTCTGAGGGTTTTGGATAAGCATCATCACTACTTTTAAGCTTGAACTCAATTTCATTAAAAAAAAGTAATGAACAAATTATCACACTCGCAATGATTTTTTAATATATTGAAAATCAAAGTATATGAATAAATTTTAAATTAATTTACATAATTTTTAAATCACATTAAAAAATTTAAAATTAATTAGATCTCTAAATCTCTAAATATTCAATAAATAAATTACTTTTTTAAATCTTAATTTTTACGACATAAAGCTAAATACCAAATATATTAACAAATTCAATTTGAGTTTTTTATATTTTAGTAACACTTCATGATGCTACTATAACCGTGTCCATTGACCTTTGATCTCATATTGTAGTTCAATTTCCCAGTTTTTTTTAATTTTACATTTCTATTTTCCAAAAAAATAAATTCAATTAGATTCACTGACTCAAATTTAAAATTGATGAAGACATTTACTGTCATTTTCAGCTCGAATATAAATAATTGAACTTTTGACGTTTTAAAGTTTTACAATTAATCTAAGCACATCAATATATTATCAATTATGAATATTAATGATTATATATTTACGTAAAATTTTAAAAGATTAGAAGAAAAATGCATTACAGATTACAGATTGTAAAGAATCCTTGTAGATTGATTTTTGATTCTTAAGTATTAGTTTTTATTGCGTTAAATTGATATTAAAATGATAATTTGGCATCATTTTAATATTTATTTTTAAAATATATTTTTTTTCCAAATTTTTAAATATCATGTTTAATCTATTTATGTCTTGCATTAGCTCTATTATGATCAGATTAGTTAATTAATAAACTAGAATTTTTTCTGGATTATTTATTTTTTATGCATCTTAATTAGATTTCCCCTTTCATAAGTCTCAAGGATACATTTTTGAAATCACATCAACAATTCAATTACAAAAATAATCTAATCAGCCATTTTTGCAAATTTAAAGTTAAGGTTTGTTGAATATTTACTGTAAATATTTTTTCAATAAATTAGAAACTTATTCATGTCATATTTTTAAAAATTCATGATAATTGTGTGAAAATATTAAAAATAAATGTGATCTTTACAAATTGGATATAATTGACACAATAGAATTTGTTATGAAAATGTTAATTTTAACATATATTACTGTTACTAATTTCAAAATGTTAAAAGCATCATTTTGCAAAACAGTTTCAATTTTCATTCAAGTTAGAATTTTTTTATTTTTTTTCATCTGCCAATGCTCTAGAATAATCAATATTAATTCTCTTTTGATTAT